GTTTCTGAACAGAAACTTGGCAAAGGACAAGGGATGAAGTTCTCTGTTGGTTTTTTTTCGTGTTTGTTTGGCATTTCCCTGTTCCTCCCCGGTTTTCTTTCTTAGCTTCTGTTGTTGATGTAGCACCTGAAGGAGTCCTTAGCCTTGCCATTTCAGACTGAAGAACCACAAAGACTGGGATCTTGACCCTGTGTAAAAAAAGCAAACTGCGTAGCTTGTCCTAAGGTGGTTCTTTACTTTCTCTGAAAATAGAGCAGAAGTCTTGCGATAGACGTAGGCTTAGTCATGAATACTGAGAAAGAACAATACCGTACGATTGATAAACTTCATAGTAAAACAGCTTTGGAAGATAAACTGCTGCTGTTATCTGAGGAAAAGTATCTGAAGATTAACACATCCAGAATAAATGACCACAAGAGAGAACTAGCTCTGGAAAAAAAAAAAATCACATTCCTACATAGAAAATGCATTCCATAACAATGTTTGTTTGGACTGTTTTTATATTTCTAAAATTATAGCTTATTTCTGTATTCTTAGATTTCAGACTTTTTAAAAAAATACAGTGCTTAGATTTATACAGATTTGTTTAGATACTTGTAACAGTAACACTTGCTTTATTAGTCATTTAGTTTTCTTTATAGACGAGAAGATAATCGTTATTTTTTACAAGACAACAATTTTAACCTTTCTTAATAGAACACACAGGCTTGTAGTTTTGTCTGGGAGCAATAATTTAGTGACCTGCACTCTTGAATCCCCATCTAAGAGTCTTGATTTTTACCCTCATCTTTCATGCAGATATCTCAGCTGCTGAGGTATGAGCTCTATCAACTGTATTCAATTACTAGAATATAGATTTTAAATATATATATATTTAAAAAGAATATTTGTAGGTGTGTGCAGGCAGGGTGCTGTAGGAGCTGAAGAAGCAGGTCTGTACTGTACCTTTTGCTAAACAGATGCATAGAAATCAGCTGCACATTGAATTCCTAGGCTTAAGGATTCTGAGTTTGTTTGGAGGTACCAGGTTTATAACAGTATTGATGATTTCTGCAAGGGATTCATATGGGAAAGCATGGAATCCTTTTAGGCAGACATCTCCTTCTTGAGACCTGCCTGCAAAATGAAAGAGGGAATTTTAGTAATTCCACTAATGGTAATTTAGAAAAAACAATCTCGTTTCAGTCAATTTCCCACTGAAGTCAGTGCAAGTTTTGCCTGAACGGGTTATCTGCACCTAGAACATTTCTGACTTGGCTGTTCAGAAATAACTCTGTGAGAATAGCTCCTTGTATGACACTTACTTCCAAATGTGTGCCTGGATGTGGGCACAAAGCATGACAACTTTTCTGAAGTCATGTGTTTCAAAAAACTTGTAAGCATGGACAAGTCCTGTGTTAAGGATTTCAGGGCTGGGATCTTGGGAAGGCTATCGATAAGCCTTGCAGAATTAAGTTCAGATAAGGACTAATAAGTGATTTTTTTTTTTTTGTTAAATTATTTTAAAAATATCTTTCATGTATATACAATTTTTCCTCTGTTATTTGTATATAGCTCAACTCTCAATTTTATAATCCCCTGAGAATGGAGGGAGTTGTACATATTTAGCCTGAAGTGTTTTATGTTAGACTTTAATAAACTTGTTTTGTAATTTTCCCTCACCTTGTGTCTCCTGTTCATAACTACAAGGGGTAGCAACCAAAGGAGGAGGGGAGCAGCCGAAGGACGCGCGGTAGCCCTTGGCACAGCGTGCTGGCACAGCAAGGAGTGCTACCTCTTCTTCTCAGCTTTAAACACACCTGGCTTTTCTCATAGAAGACATTTTGGGTCTGTTCAAACTCAATTAAACTAAAACTTTATTCTGAATACAATCTAGTATAATGACTCTTGGGTTATTTTTTTTTTTTCCACTTGTTTTGAGGTGTTTGGGTGAGGTTTTAAGGGGGGGTGTTTATTCTGGGGTTTATTTTGTGGGTTTTTGTTTTTTTTTTTTCAGAGTGCTTTGAAGATGTAGTTTTTATGCTAAAGTAGATATTAAGTGAATTTCTTTATCAGAATTTGTATCTTAACTTATTTTTACTAGGTTGTTTAATTTTACAGAAGGTGGCTGGAGCACACAGCAGGACTTAGGAGGCCTGCGTTGTACCCCTGGCCTGCTGGATCAGTCGTTTTCCTTCTGTTTAAATTGGGGCAGAAATGCTGCCTATCAGCAAGGTACTGCGACTTCTGGAAACTGAAACAGGACGCTTGCTTTAGCTACTAGATTAACTTGCTCAGAAGAGCATGACAAAAATTTCTAGCCTGTGTAATTTCTCTCACTCCAAAGAACACAAGATACATCTTTTAAGAATTTGGAGGTTCGGTTTTCAGAGGAAGGAAAGCAATAAATCCCTCTGGTGTAGGCCTCCTTAAGCACTACAGATTTTTGCACAAATAATTATTTTAGTTTGCAAGAAGCTGTTTTTACAGAATTCAGTAGGAATTACTTCACAGCTGTTTCTTACAAAGGAATATCAAAGTAAACTGTAACACGAGCTATTTTTATGGATATTGTCAATAATGCAGAGTGCTGTTATGGGCCGAGCATCTCGCTGTTAAACAAAGGTTCACATAAAGTACAAATATTTCAAAAACATAGGCTAGCACTTTTGAAAGGCAATGTCATTTATCCCATTGATGTGTTTTGGAGAAAAATACTGCTATTGGTAGAGTTGGGGCACTTGGTAGATTTGGTTCCCTGTTACCACAGCAGATTAATAAATGTCACTCATACAAGTCAATTAAGACTTGATTTGAGCAATGAAATTAGCGTGAACTTCATCTACAGGACAAGGGGAAGAAAGATACATAGAAAAAATATACCTCGACCTGAATCTTGTAGTGGTCTTTCTGGCAAGAAATTCTATCATCAGTGTCTTGGTACTGAGAGCGCTCTCTTCAGACTGTCGGAGTATGACCTGCATGCTCCAGAGCAGCAGCACTCAGAAAAAGACCAACTTGGATAATACAGGCTTATCTCATTATTTAAAAACGTAGGAATTTTCGTAGCCTGCTGGTTCTTCTCAAACAATAGTGTTCATCATATCCTCAACTTCTTTTCTCACTGCTCTGTTCTTCCTGTTTATCAGTAGTTAAAATCCAAGGTCCTCTCTAGAATAGGGCTCTTACAGTGTGACAGAGGGACTTTGTGCTTAACAAGATGCACAGGTGGAGATGGCCCCGTGCAGGTATGTAGAACCAACACACCTGCTCTGTGGGCTTCTCTCAAGTCCTTTTACAATACTAAGTGCTTTTTTGAGCAACAGAGCCTAAGCTGTGTGGAAAAACCTCCACGTAAAACAGCTGTCAGTACCACCTTGGTCATTTCAGCTTGGTATGGGGTATTCATACATCTCCCTGTTTTGCACTACCACTGTGATCACGCAGCATCAGAACATCAGCAGTTACATCACTGCTTCTTGGGTATTACTGTTGAAATTACGTTATCTTTCTCCCCTCGTACTTTGATCTCAGATCTTTCACCTGTGTCACATACATTCACGGATTATGCTGTTGCTTTATACTGATTTTGAACAGGCACGTTTAGACACACAGAAGATTGCAGCAGTGAAAGCCTTTCAGCAAACCTCTGCTGTCCTGTTTGGTGACTCTTTCCTCTTTAGGAGCATAGATTTAGTCACTTCTACAGGTATGAGCAGAGTGGGTGGAAAAAGGAAAAATGCACTGAATGATTCCAAAACTTCTATGAAGTCTGTATCCAAAACATTAAACAAAGTTTAACTACCATTATATGTTGTCTTATTGATGTGTAGGAGTTGTCACACGGCTATAATGATATAAATCTTTTTGAACAGTTTTCAAGAGACAGGGAAGAAGTAACGACACCAAGTTTGATGGTGTTTTTCATTTCTAGTACAAAAAACAAGTACCTTCTGCAAGTTAATCAAAATACCATTCATATTCCAGTAAACTGAGTTCACTAGCTTATAGTTCCAGCATTATAGTGGCTTAATGCTTAAGTTAATTTACCTTGGTTTAAAAAAAAAAAAAAGTCTCTCTTGGAAAAAGATCAAAAGCATGCAGTTAGTAAGTAAAAGGAGAGATTATATAGAGTGCAGTCATAACAGATGGATTTACTCAAACCTTTCAGC